AAAGACATGACACATTACTTTCACTGACCCAATCAGATATTGACAGAGGTGTGGTTTTGGTGGTGTTCGGAAAATCTGTCAACTTTTCATTCGACTATAAACCAAAACATCTGAAGTATAAAACTATGCCACGTCATCTCTAACGCCAGTTCAAAGCGTTCTAGAGAAGTTGTCAGAGTGGCCAATCCGTAACTGTCCTCTTCAACCGAAAGAACCAACAACAAGCTGGAAAATTCCTTGCTGTTCCAACTGCTGCAACGATTCCTTTCAGAATAAAAGCTGAACCATCAAGACCCAGGCGGATCTCGCAGACGCCAACAAATTGTCGTGACCCGGAAGTATCTCAAGACGGGTGGTTGGCTGCCGTGGCTGCTTCTACCGGCTCCTGCTCCACAAGGTCAAGCTGGACCTTTACACCTCCTGATCTAGACGGGGACCTCCGCTCAGGGTATGTAGACTGACAAATGGCATTGAATGTGTTTATGGACCTCCTAACCAAAGCTTAACGCAAAAACATCACCTTCAGTTCTCATCAGAACTAATCGCTTCTTCGGATTTGCTGGTTCTGAGCAAGATTACACCTCACCCCATTCACCGTCTCATTCACTTTGTTACACCATACATCTAGTGTTTAAAGTTAGTCTAGTTTAATTTGTTTAGTAATACATTTTTAAACTTTTAAACTTGACTCTCTCTCTTCTGTTGTCTCTGAGTGAATACGAAGCTGTTTTCTAATCCCTGCATTAAAAGTTCCAATCTTCTGGTTCAAAATAACTTCACAGATCCATAAGGTTGATTTCATATTTACTATGGAGTCCTACGCCTTATGGCTTATTAAATAACATGTAATTTAAATCATTAGATTACAATAGAGAAAAAAAGATTTGCACTGCAGTAAGTCTGCATGGCATCATCAAGCGTCACCAACACGTGAAACTGACCTAATATCAAAGCACATCACGCACTAATGTCATACTGATTCATTATATGAGTCCACTTTTCCAAAAGGGCTGTAAAATATTCACTTTGGATCATTGGCCCTGCTCCTTATAATGGTCTTTGCTGTCATTATTATGGTTAACCAGCTAAACGCAGGTGACACAAAATCGGTAACTTGAGAGCAGAGCCATGTTTTGCTCTGATCTAAAAGGCCCTTGTCTTTCTGTTTGTGTTTCAGCGTTTTGAACATAAAAACCATGGTGGGTAAAAGCAGCAGCTTTTTAGACCAAAACAAAACAGAAACAAATAGAAAGCAACACAAGTTGCTCCAAACATGAGAGACATATTTGGTTTAAAGAAGAATTAAGATGATTTTTTTTCTTTTTCTTTTTTGTTTTGTAAAAAACATTTAATAGCTCCATGGTCAATACAAAACACCACATTCTTTGAATAAAACCCCTCTCACATGTCATTTGAGCAGTTTTGATCTTTACAGTTTCAGTACCTCCCAGAATGAGCCGTTTCTGGGCTCTGGAACTTTAAGAAAATGAGCTGGAGCTGGCCACGCCCACCTATTCCCTGCTCAGGCTGCAATAAGCTGAGAAGCTCCAAAATCTGAGTGGGGCTCAGAGTAGAGCTGCTGCTCTTCCAGTAGATGAGAGGTGGTTTTATGCTACTTTCCCTGTTTGTGACATCGACAATGGGGACTATTTTTAAAACATCTTATTTTAAGCACATAATTTTTAAAACCAAACACTGATAAAATATAAATAAATAAATAAATTAAAACACTTGTTTTTTTCTTTCAAGTTTGGAGTATTTTTAAGAGGTAGTAGATTCCCACATGGTAGCACCAATGGATGCATTAATGTTTCCCCTTTAAGACATGTTGTCAACAATATGAATAAAAGCAAAAACTGTTTCATTTTGTAAAAAGAAAATAATCATTACAAATTTTACTTTGAAAAATTCTTGTATCCAGTCAGTTTTATATTTAATGCTTTTTTTTGCTGAAGTTGGCCAATTTGATCTGAATCCTCTTCTAGGCGGGCAAACCTCTGAAGTACTGTACCACCAAACATCATTTGTGCAGCAGATTTATCATGGTGACCACATGAGATCAATGTGTTCTTTCTTCTAAAATTGCTCTAGTGTCATTTTCGAGCTTTGTAAACTTCTATAATAACATTATTTTGTGATCACAAGGCAGACACATTCTGCTGATTGGATCTCTTAGTACTTGGAGTTTGTCTTGTGAATAATTTTTAGCTTCTATTACACCAAATTACATCTAAAGTCTATAAATTTAACTAAGTTTAAATTTGCTGTAGTGGCCATCTTAAAAATGATTGATGAAGATGTTCTGGGAGTTTTGTTTGCATTCATCCAAATGGTGGTGCTTTGGCAACCTTAGGGGGTGTCTTTCTAGCAGCCGTGTGTGGGACCTCAAGGGGTCTAAGACGGTGGCCATGGGTTACTGCCTGATAACCGTGTCGCTCCTGGGTGGGTCTGGGTGAGGGCCTGGTGGCTTAGGTTCTGGAGCTGATCGTCCCCAGGTGGGGGTCTGAGCTGGACCTAGGAGGATTGGATCCTGGCTTGTATGCTGCTGGTGACATGGGCAGGTACATGTGGCAGTGCCTGGCCCTGGGGCCTTGGGTGGACCTCGGTTCTTCCTTAACTGGCAGGAATACTTCTACTTCCCTGGGGGTTTCCATTATTCCATGTCTGGGGCTTGGATCAGCTCCATGTATCTATGGGTCCTGTAGAGAAACTTTACATACAGAAGCACGTGTACACACATAGGCACTCACATTGTGTTCTCACAAGTATGGACTCTGGTGTTTTTGACACATTTCCTTGGGCTGTGGTTGGCACCACCTGCACCATGAATAAATTATCACTATGTGCTTTGTTACTACTATATATCCTCATGTTGTTGACACAGATATGTTGGTTCTGTTGTATTTTTGAATTGGCCTGTCCTAGTATATAGTGATTGACTTTTAACAAAAAAAAACCAAACATTAAAATTAAATTTTACATCTGCAAAAATGACCAAGTTATGTCCATTTAGAGCTTTTCTGAGGTCAGTTGTCGGTGGCTGCCATATTGAACTGGGTTGATTCAAAGTTAATCAGTTGTACATGTACAAACATCTGTCCAGTGGTTCATGATGTTTTTTTAAGCCACCTTCCACACTGACCAATCACAAAACATTATCACGTGGTGCCAGAAAGCAAAAGTTAAAACGATTGATTGTTTCTGTTGTTTCTTTTTTGGGGTCAAGAAACACATCCACTTTCAAAGCTCCAATAAAAACCTACAATTCAAAGTGTTGCATGTTTGTTTATGTCAGGTATGAGTTGCAGGTAGCAACCTCATCGGAAAGAAAGACAGAACTCGTCGTCTCAGCCCAGCTTGTTCAGTTTTACTCCTGAGGAGTTTAAGAACGCAGGGACATCTAATCCACCAGCTGCACGATCCTGATCCCAACAAAGTCTTTAAGGTAGAATTTCTTTCTGAAATGATGCAGGATTTTTATATTTCTGAAATGGGATGTAACATTGCAGAAATTACAGCACAAACACATAGCAAACAAACAAACAATTTGACCAAACAAGCAGGTGTTCATTTATCAGCCGACACAGATTCGTTATGCACAGATGGACATGAAGGGAATCGCGATGTGCTTGAGTTCAGGCGTCTCGTCTGTATCTTGAATCCAGTTAAGCCTTGTACCTGCCAGTCGGAGGATTTAAGACTGAGAGTCTACAACCAGTCTGTCACTGTGCTACCCACTCCAGACAATCACACACTCTCACACACACACAAACACACACACACACACACACACATGCACGGCGCACACACACACACACAAACACACACATACACGCACGCATGCACGCACACAAACACACACATGAATACGAGCACACACACTCTCTCTCTCTCTCTCTCTCACACACACACACACAAACACACATGCACGCATGCACGCACACAAACACACACATGCATACGAACACACACAAACACACACACACACATACATACACGCACGCACGCACACAAACACACACACGCATACGAACACACACACACACACACCACCAGTTTGGCATGTGCAGCAGTGCCTGCAAGCAATGTTTACTTATGTGAAATTAAGAACGTGTGTGTGTGTGTGTGTGTGTGTGTGTGTGTGTGTGTGTGTGTGTGTGTGTGTGTGTGTGTGTGTGTGTGTGTGTGTGTGTGTGTGTGTGTTTTGGTAAGGAGAAGTTGATCGGGAGATGGTCTGGTCCACTCAACTGTTGTGTCTCCCTTCAAATGCAGCCCTTTCAGGACTGCACAAATGTCATCAAATTGCAACAGCCTCCGCAGTGAGTGATGTCATTGATCAGTGCCAAAACAAATCCATAGTAGCATTACTGTAATAACAGTAAAAGTTGTATTCTGTTTAGGTACATCATTTATTTGGAGGATTTGGAGGAGAATACATTTGGATGAGCTGCAGCTGTAAAATGTGGTGTTAAATGACCAGACGAAGCTCCATTTTTTGCAGTGCTCTGTGACACAACAAAGCCCAGTGGACTATGTCGTTATGGGGTGAATCCCACTGTATTTTTTGGTGTTACTTCTTTTGCTTCCATTTCTACTTCACAAGCTGGTCTGAGAGGGAAAACCTGGAGGTTCCTTCTCTCCAGTTACTCTATTATCTCTCCTGGAGGATCACAGTCAGGGAGGATTCACAAAGCCTCAGGATTGTTCTGGGTCTACACTGAGGGCTGCCTGGAAAACCTCCACAGTGAAGGGGCCAGGAGGCATCCTGATCAAAGCCTAAGCTTACTCAGACGACGCCTTTCAATGAGGAGGAGCAGCCACTGTTCAGAGCTCCTTACCTCACCTCTGAAGCTGAGGCAAGCCGATTTGAGTTGTTTGTAACCCTAAACACATAGCATGTTTTATAACAGTTACAATGAACAGTTGTTATAGATGTTACAGATGAATGAAACTCTGTTTTCTTAATCTTTATAAAAAAAGTAAATAATGAAACATAAACATGACAGCCGATAAATGTTTTATTGTTATGAACACTTTGAAGACTGGATACATCTTTGGTTCTACAATCTGACTTCTTTAGCTGTATATAAAATGTACATCTGCATTTATCCCAAAATTACAAATGTTACAATTATTTCACAGTGTAATACAATCTCATATAAAACCCACTGAATTAAGACAAATACAGTTTTAACACAGCTTTCTTTAATACACATGTATGTTTATTAAAGAGTTAAATATGTCACCATGATAAGGAGTCAGTGGTAAATATGCACCTTATAAATAATACACACACAGAGTAGATTATCTGTTGGATTATCAGTTAAATAAAAAGGGTTGGTGTTAGGAAAGGCTCTTTTATTTAATATAATCTGCTATTCATGGGTTCATTAGTGCCAGAATTGGATCAGTAAGGATGTGAAAAAAGGAAACCAGATGTGAACAAAGACGATTTGTTTTTCAGGTAGATTTTTGAAACATTTAGACCAAATGTGCAGAAAAAAGAAACAAAATGACAGAAATGCAGTCGGTGTGAAACGGTCAAAGAAGAGTTAGAAAACGGGTGACAGCAGGGAGGGAAGGGAGTGAGGTAAAGATTACCTCCACAGACCTTTAACACTGATAGAATGTTGTTTGCTGCAACCTTGCTGTGCATCTGTTTGTTAACTGCGTCGCTATGGTAACCTACGTGACAGTGTCAGGGCTTCAAGTCACCAAGGGGGGGTGGTGACCTTGTCATTGACAAGTCCACACAGCTGCATCCATCTCTTTCTCTATTTCTGTCTCCGTTTCAGTCTATCTGTCTACTGAGCCAGCCCCCCCCCCCCCGGAAAAGAGCTGGCTCCTTCCTTCTGCAAAAGCAGCCAAATGTGTTCTACGTCTTGATCACTGGACTTGGAGTGAATGCGATGTAGAAAAGGAGCACCCAGCCGCCGGGTGCTTTAGACGTTACTGGGACCTGAAGCAGGAGGAGCAGGTCCCGCCCCTGTCCGTCTCTAACTGAGGGGTGACCGTGTCGGGGATTTCTGACTGGAGCATGTCATTCTCGCTGGCGATGATGTGTTTGACTAAGCAGTTGGCGGCCTCATCAATGTTGATGTTCTCCTGGAAAAAAGGAAAGTTAGGGACGTGAATGAGGAGGATTAGGAAATGATGGAAACCCGGAGACAGAGCAGGTGATGTAATCAAATAAGCCGTGACTAAAACAACTAAAATGCTGGCATAACCTGAGAAGGTAGTTTTATTAACAGACAGTATGTTTTTATATGTAACAGTGGAAATAGTCACACAAGTCAGTTAGATTTGATAAGTCATACTTAATTCCAGTTAGAATTGAAATATTCATCTGTAAACAATATTTATCACACTCACAGTCACCTTTAAATGTATAGAAAGCTAATTGGTTAAAGAGTCTTTAATTCATACAAGGATAAATGGGTCGTTGTTGGAAAGGTTACCAATGAGTAAATAACCTGTTGTAGCTCTTTGAACAGCTTGGGTTTAGTGTTAGTCGAAGCAAGACCAAAGGGGATTTCTGCCATCACAAAGAGAAAATGTTTCACAAATGACAGATATTAAACAAACAAAAGCTAACTGAACTGCTCAGCAGCCAACTGTCACGGGATGAGTAGGAGATGGTTAGGACCCAAAATGCAGATACCCCAGGATGACACGAGGCAGGAGATGATATAAAGAAAATTCCTTTATTTTGAAGGATGAACAAAAATAAATCCAAAAAGCAGGGAGCCAAAAATCCAAAAAAAAAAAAAAAAAAAACCTGAATCAGGAGAACAAAAGCTCACTTAGAGCACAAACTGGGGACGAGACACAAAGCTCACACAGAGCACCAAAAACCACGCTGACAACAACAATGGAACGACAACACACTGAGACAAGACAGGGCTTATATGCATTGGGACTGGAGTGATTGGAGACGAGGAGCAATTAGGGAAACAGGCAGCAGGTGTGTGGAGTGAGGGCTGGAGGGAAAGCAGGTGAATACAATTATCTAAATGGGGAACAGAACCAGAGGAGGGCAGATAAACCTAAAACTATAAAACACAAAACTAAACCTAAAGACTGAGGGAAGGACTCACACATACACCGAGCTGGGGGAGGACACACACACACACACACACACACACACACATACCGAGCTGGGGAAGGACATGCACACACACACACACACACACGCACACACCGAGCTGGGGAAGGACACGCACACACACACGCACACACATACCGAGCTGGGGAAGGACACGTACACACACACACACACACACACATACCGAGCTGGGGAAGGACACGCACACACACACACACACGCACACACCGAGCTGGGGAAGGACACACACACACACACACACACAAACACACACACACAGAAATAAAATACCTATGTAAACTGAGGTGGGGAGACTAAGAGACATGAAGAAAACCAGGAGGGAGCTGGGGACAAAAAGGCTGGAGCTACAAGGACACAGAACTTGAAGGAAAACCTGGAGGGGCTGGGGATGACTGAATGAACACAGGACCTGGGAGGAATGATTTAAAGGGCTACAAACAGAAGACACATAAATGAGACGCAGACAAAGGACACATGAGGGCGCTATGAGACACAAAAGGGGAATCTAGGGAGGGATGGAGAACACAAGGAGACACATGAGGGAAGACGCAGACGCAGACCATGCCACCAACCAATGCCATGATGATTATAAAGTCCCTGCTGGAGGTGCCCCAGGCTGCGCCAATGCTAATGCCAACTGCCAATGCTACTATTTGTACTTGTAAACAACAGTAACTCCAAATAGACCGTGTTATGAAAAAGTATTCATTATGATTTTTTATCTGATTTGTTTTAAAAGGACACCAACTAATTTTGATTCACTCAGTCTAGCCATTAGCTTATCAATCTCATCAGAAATATTCAGTTTCCAGAGGTGAATCAAATGGTCCTCGATGGATTCGACACAAGATATTATGTGTTAGTAACTTTTCTACAAAAAAACATTTAAAAGTATCTGAAGTGTCTTTTCAAACTTTAGCGTCTTAAATTTGAGTTTAAGACATGTCAAATCGTTTTTTAAAACCACAAAGTCATAGTGAGATTAACCTTCACAGACCAGAGTGTCCGCCCTGGGACTGGAAGATCAGAGCTCAAATCCCAGTCGGGTCATACCAAAGACTTTAAAAATGGGACCCAATACCCTCCTTATAGTCTGCAGTTAAGGGGTGTGTGTTGGCATGCATCTGTAGAGGGGAGACAATGTGGTATATTACGAGATTTGCAATTTTATGACTGAATTTAACCTAACGGTAATTACATATTAGCAAGACCCAAACTCATCATACGACCCAGGAAAGCTCTTGATTCCTACTTTTAGGTGACATCATAGATTGTAACGCCATGAGGCTTAACCATGAATTATATTACTGAAATAAATAAATACACAGCAGTGTTCCTCTGCTGTTTTTCCTTTAAGGAAACTCAATTAGAAATCAGCAAATTTGTTCTGCATCTGCAGAAATATTAATAAACAACATGGTAAAAACATGCTACGCAAATTACTCTAATGAACCTAAAAACTCTTTTCACTTTAATCTTCACTCAGAGCTGCGGTTTTCATATAACAATGCAAAATGATCCTCCTTCTCATGCTTGTGTAAATTATAATTATTCTGTCACTAATTGGTGCATTAGTTTAATTTGAAGAGGATTTTCCTGACTTGCAACCATGTCACACCCAAAGAAGCATCCAGACTCCCAAATTAATAAATGAGTTCATCTAGGCTTACTGGAATAAAGCATAATTAATTCATAACCTGGCCATATTAAATACAGATGATGAAGATTATTTAAACAATTTGAACAAATTTAGGAAGAAACTCTTGATGAAGTTCACAGAAGAAGAATACACATGAGAAACACACACACACACACACACACACACTAGCAATAGCAATAGTAAACAAATTGATAAAATATTGCGATACACTCACATCCCACAGCGCACCATCCTTTTCTGATTTCATCCTTGTCAAAATAAAAGCGCACCACCAAACCTGCCCTCCATTCTCATTACCCTCCCTGTACTCTCTGATGCATGCAGAATGTGTCTTGAGCTGTTCAAGATAAGATGTTCATGTAATTCTTCTGGCAGCTGATTTGAGCTGAGGAGCGACAGACTCCTGAAACTCATTCTCCTCAAAGGGAGACTGCATGTGTTGCTATTTGAGGCATAAATGTGAATATTACCCAGCATTCATGGCCCATCGCTGTTTACATTATAGTTACTAATGTAATAAAAGTGGTTGTAAAATGTCAGCATGACTCCGGTGAGGAATATTCACAGCAGCTTTTTTTATTCAATAATAAACACAAAATGCTGCTTTAGTAAAAACCGAGCCAGGCTGTCATAAAGCAGTTTTTCACTTTTACACATTATATGAACAATAATCAGTTCTCCTTTGTTTCAGAAACACAACATGGCTTTGATTATCAGCCTCAGCTACTGCAGGTCTCTCTCTCTCTCTCTCTCTCTCTCTCTCTCTCTCTCTCTCTCTCTCTCTTTCTCTCTCTCTCTCTCTCTCTCTCTCTCTCTCTCTCTCTCTCTTTTTTTTTCTTTCCTTCTTTCTCTCCCTCTCTCCCCATCATTTTCTCGCTCTCTCTCTCACTCTGTCTCTCCCTCTTTCTTTCTCTCTCTCCCCATCCTTTTCTATCTCTCACTCTCTCTCTCTCACTCTCTCTCCCCTCTTTCTTTCTTTCTTTCTTTCTTTCTTTCTTTCTTTCTGTCTCTCCCTCTTTCTTTCTTTCTTTCTTTCTTTTTTTCTTTCTCTCTCTCTTTCTCTTTCTCTCTCACCCTCTCTCTTTTTCTTTCTCTTTCCCTCTTTCCCTCTTTCTTTCTTTCTCTCTCTCCCTCTCTCTCTTTTTCTTTCTCTCTCTCTCTCTCCCACTTTTTCTCTCTTTATCCCTCCCTCCCTCTTACCCTCTCTCTCTCCATTCACTCATAATATACACTGTGAATAGGCAATCTATTTGCTTTACAGCCTTAAATAGACATTTTTAACCAGCTTTATTTATCCAGTGCAACCTCAATAGTTCAAAACACCTCAGTACTGCCAGTCAATATGAGCAGTTTCTGGCAGGCAGTGGCGCCCCCAAGGGGTAGCCAGGGGTGTCCAAGGCCACCCCATTGGCCACTCCAAAGAAGACCACTGTTCTTTAATGAATCATATTAATGTTCACACAAACTATAAATTCATAAAGCGAGAAAAGTTGCTTTTCCCTCTCGCTTTCATCTTGCTTCCTGCATGGGTCTGCTGTTAGTTTACAGCAGCGAGCTCTGAAGAAGACTGCAGTAGTAGTCGAAATGTCAGCAAAAAAAAAAAAAGGTAAAACAACTCCTTTCTGTGTTAAAAAAAGAACCAAATATTGCAGTTTAAATTTGTAGTTTTGTGTGTGTGGAACAGCATTTATCAGTTTTAAATTTTTGATTTCGTACCCGCTTGTCCACGCAGGGTTGCAGGGGGCTGGTGCCTGTGTCCAGCAGTCTCTGGGCAAACAGGCGGGGTACACCCTGGGAGATTGAATTACATGACCTGAAGGGATTATTTTTACTACAACACGGATTATAATGACCATAAACCAGCAAAAGTAATATAATTTGTGCTTTAGACTTCATGAAATGATCTTTTTTCAGCCTTTTTGTTTAGCAGCTTATTGGAGTTGGGTGTTGATGAGGTGGAAAATGTGGATTCTATCATTTAGATGAGCCTCTTCCCATTAAGTATATGTGCAGTTTGCATATGTTGGTGAATAATAATCATGTTTTTGGAACAACTTTGTTGCTAAAAGTGCTCATGGACCTGGTACCTGGTCCGTTGGGTTGAAGTTGTCCCCTAGTGGTGATATGTGGTTAGCGCATCTGAAAACAGACCACAAAAAAACGCCCCACCAAAAAATAAATTTCACCAGACGCCACTGGATGCTACACTTTTTGCAGCAACGATCTTCTGCATTTGATCTGCTAAATTTCATGTGATTTGGTTGGGCAGAAAACTGAACCAATAACCTTTAGTCTGTTTCTCTTGTGCAGGTGTGAGGTGAGCTCAAGTCCAGCTGTTGGACTGTGTTTAGTCTATTTTCTGCTCTTCCCACCAAGCTGTTAGATTCCTAGCTGCCACAGCGAGAGCAGAACGTTGGTGTGGAGCTCAATCAGCTGCTACTCACCACACTTTAGTTACAACTCTTTTGCTTATTTATAATGTGACTTCATTCATATTTTCATGTTTCCACAGATTTTGTTACGATGCAGAGATGCCTTGAAAATACAGACCAAAATCTGTTGTATGTGTGATTAAAAAACTGCTGAAAAGGCTGTTTTGGAATATATTTGTAAAATGAAGGTTTGCATGTAACAAATTTGGACTGATAGATTTTAGGAGCCTTGAACTCTAGCCCTTATATGTCCTAAGTGCATTTTTTGTGCAGACAGGTGTATTTTTGTGGTTAATTATGGCTATGCTACTGCAATGTATCTTTTTGGGGGGGATAAGGGATATTTTGGGGGGAAATATCAAAAATTATAATAAAAAAATCCCCTACTCCATTTAATGTAACACTGAAATCATTTTGTGGCGTTACCGCCCTTAGTGCATTTTTTGTGCCATTGACTCCCATGTAAATAATTTTTTCTAGTAAGCCTATATATATATATATATATATATATATATATATATATATATATATATATATATATATATATGTATATATATATATATATACATACGTGTGTGTGTGTGTGTGTGTGTGTGTGTGTGTGTGTGTGTGTGTGTGTGTGTGTAATTTAGAGTTTTTTATGTTTTCCACTAGATTGCACATTTTTCTTATGTATACTGGGAAAATAACTAACGCTGCCTTCAGATAAAAGAAATAATAAATGAAAATATGTTTATGACCATTATGACAATCCAATGTGTTGAAAATGTGCCCATAAAACATATCATCTGGACATAACACACAAAAAAAGTTTATATTTTTATTAGTTTACATTTCTGGTTATGATCATGCACCTGAAAATAAAGGGGAGAAATAAATGAGTTGAATCTCAGGAACGCACAAATATTTTCTTATATTTTGTGAGGACTGAAGCCAAGGACAAAATTTTAGTAAAAAATTGGGAGTTATGAAATATTATATGAGGAAGTATTGTGTCTGCATTTTTTTTTGCACATGAAAGCATGAAAATACACCAAATCTATAAAGTCAAAAAATGTTTTTATCCCTAATTGCAACACTCCAAGGCTGTGACAGTTTAACCCCCTAAAAGGTCATCTGAACATAAAACACAAAAAATTAATAGATTTTTAATATAAGTTTTGTATGTGCACTTTTTTGTGCTCAAACACCACTAAGGTCTTGTTAGAAAGCTAAAAGGTAATATAAGGGCTAGACAAATAGTCCATAGTCAGGGTTTGTATTGGCGATTTACTCCACATTTAGGATTAAATTATCAATGGCTAGTTTTCAGTAATAAGTAAACATAATCAAATTCTATAACTACTTTTTTATGTTTTGTGCTTTCAGTAGAAAACACTGAACTGATAAATTCCCTCGGCATTTCTGGACTTATCTGTATGACAAAGCACCTGATGCAAGTGCAGCTGACCTGGAAAAGCACAGATGGATCGTCTGCTGTGAGTCTCTGTGGGAAAGCAGCAGAAATCTGGGATTTGGAGGTTTATTTGTATGCAGAATTGACTGAGTCAGAGCCTCTGTAGCGGCATTCCCACAGGATCTTCAGGTATCGGGTAGCCTGGCAAGCCAGACTAAATAAATGGATTAGCCCTTTTCAGATAGACATTCTGGAACATTTGTGGACAATTCAATCCGGTTTTTAACTGGAACTGTGTTTTCAGACACACCACTTTTGTACCGGAACTTGTCCTTTCGGCTGCGTTCACACAGCAGGGAAAAGTTCCAGATGTCTGACGGCGGCGGGGGTGGGTGGGTGGGTGGGGGGGGGGGGGGTCGGACTTATGTTAAGAAGAAGAAGAAAATATCATTTCTATAGTGCCTCTCAAGATAAAAATCACGAGGCGCTTAAGCATAATTCTGCGCACACGAAGACGCATAAGAGACCTGGATGATGAAGCTCAATGGTTAAAGGAATCACTGAAGCGGTGTGAAGCGCTCCGTCACGCGTCTAGGCGGTACCGTAGGAGGCGAGCTGCCGTGGTTCGCCGCATGCTACAGCAGCGGGCTATCTAGGTGCGCACAGTGTCCCCCGGTCCCCTCCCTCTTGTCCGGAACTTTACCTCACCAGTCTGAAGCAGCCACCCTGTCCGTAACAAGTCCGGACCTGTTACTAGGGGCTTCGTCCGGATAAATTCCGGAACACGTTATCCGGATGTTTGTATTCAGACAGAAAGGTCTTACGGACAGATTCCGGAACATTTCCGTTTTTCATGGCCTGTCTGAAGGGGGCTTTAGTCTGGCCACGCTCCATTGACGGCTCTCGGTTGTGGGGCGGGTTCTACCGTTGTCTTTCAAATGATCTCCGCATTCCACTGGACAATGAATGTGACATACTCTTGTTTCACTCTGTTGCATCATCCCACCCACCAGGCATATAGAGTGCCCTGATTGGCCCACAAAGCGGATAAAGCTCTGTGATTTGTTCACTAAGCAGATAGAGCGCTAGGATTGGCCCACCATTATGGACCAATCACAGCTCTTTATGTGTTTGAAACCCCTCTAGAGAGCTGTGATTGGCTAGCCAGAGTCCTGGTAGGAGCTGCTGAGGTTCCAGTGGAGCGTGCCTAGACCATTCTTTGCAAAGCAAGAATTTGGTCTAGTTCACAATAGGCTAGGTGTCGGGTCAAATAGAATCAAGGATGTTGTCTGTCATTCAGGGAAATGAACGCCAAACAAAAGTGCGTTGAACAACTGACCTGTACCACAGAGATCTAATTGAAGGATGTTCCTTCTTTCTTTTTGATACATAAGTGCCATTTTCCTGTTTATCTTCTGGTTCCGTCACACCGTTGCTTTTCTTCCCCTCCCATACATAAAAACATGCAGCTTGATTAGGAAGAGGATGCAATGCAGTGTGCAATCGGATAGAATATGCAAACATTTTCAGCACAACAGTGGTGTTCTGGTGAATGAAGAGCTCTATAGCTCAGGTGGACTTGACCACAGAGTTTTAACTGAACACTTTATAGATTTTGAATAAAATAATGACCATAGCGTGTGATGATGTCATGCACTCTAATTTTTGAGCTTTCTAAACTCTCCTAAAAGTTAGTAAACAAACTTTTATTACTCCCAAATAGCTCGTACTTCATATATAACGATGTAGATATTTTTGTCTTTTTTGGTACTTGTGTTTCCTTTCACCTGCCATCAGAGTGCAAAGTGAACACAACTAAATTCTAATTTACTTCCACTATATCTAACTTTTATATAATCTCTTCAAAACTCTTCAGCACTTTTTAAATGGTCATAAACCAACATAAAGACAGCAGCCAAAGAAAAGATGGATCTCTAACAATCAGATGCATCTAACTGGTTTACACTGCAACTTGAGTGTTTGAGGACTAATATTTATTCTACTTTACAATCTGAGTGCTGTCAGGGAGTAATAGACAGTTGAGGGGTTACCATGGTGACAGAAATAAGTCCCTTCCAGCTCAGACATTGATTTGGTTTTGGTTCTCCTAACATTTCATTTGTTGTAGTTTAGATTTATAAAGAGAAAGTTCCCAAGTAAGTCTTGAATTTTGGAATTTGGAATTTTTCAGATTTTTAGCCATTTCTCACCTTGGCGGACGTCTCGAACCATCCCACAAAGCCGTTCTCCTGGCAGAACTGCTCCATCTTTATTCCATTATTGGTCAGTACATCCCGACCCTGGTCGCATTTATTCGCTAGCAGCACTGTGGCTATGTGTTTCCCGTTTGCAAGTGTCAGTTTGGAATCCAAGTCTTCCTTCCATTTTGTGACGGCCTCAAAGGAAGCGAGCCGCGTCACATCGAACACGATGAAGGCGCCCATGGCTTCACGGTAATATACACGAGTCATGTTGCCAAACCTCTCCTGACCTAGAACACACACAGAAAAGCACAAAAAGACATGTTTTGTTTACTTTACACCTTTACAGTTTCATGCATCTACTATTGCATTCGTTATAATGAAAAGATCAGATTTTACGCCGCATGCTGAGATGATAAAGTGTCACTTCACAGCTTGTTTCATGCACCTGTGCTTGACGCACGCTCACAGACTACGTTCAAAAGAGTTTTTAAAAGTGAAGCGGAGGGTGAAGAAGAGACAAATAGAGACAAGTTGGCAGAAGAAACAAAGTCATCTTGTGTGTTTTTGTGTGTGTTTGCCTGTGAAATTATTTGCAAAGATTCCTGCAGCTAGAAACGAATTGAATAATGCCTGCTGGAAGTTTGCTTCCACAAAAAGAAAAGTACCAAGCATTGTTTCTACTGAACCACAATAACATAAAATGAAATAAAAATCTAATTCTGGACATTTTCCCTTTGTAACTCCTCCTCACAAGAACCTGCATGAGATAGTTTGTTTTCTAACAGAAGTGTTACAGACATGCACAGGTGGATCGGAGGCACGGGGCCGGCTGCAGAACAGCTGGCATGGGCACAGTTTTGCTCAAGGACACAATAGATGAGCAGGTGCTTTCTGAAATAGATATGTAAAACATAAAGAAATATCCAGTTGGTTGGTTTGTGTGCATGTTTTCATTCTGATTATTAAAATGATTTTGTCACATGCCTAATTGCAAAGATGCTTATATTTTGTTTAGATTTCAGGATGACAGATATTTCTGCCCACTTCAAAGTCAGATGTTTCACAAGGCATGTGGTGGAATAAGAAGACACCAATAGCATAGGAAGTCCCAAGAACTGTGGCATGTTGTCCAAGAATGTTTCTCAATTTGGATCCATCTCTAAACAACAATCCTTTAAAAAAGAAACACTTACAGCACTCCTATGTGTTTTCACTCCCACTTTGGACCTCCGGGCTTACCTAGCAGGGTTTTTTCTGTTTCAAGTTTCAAGTTCACTTATTTTGTCAACATTTGCAGTGCTCTCTAGCATAAATTAATGCCTTGTGAGTCAATCTTGAGGAAATGAGCTCTTGTGCTCCTGTTTCAGGATCTAGAATGAGCCAGAGCAGACAAAGAGCAGCAGGATGGATTTGGAGTCTTATTTCCTGATATTTGGATAGCTCTTCTCTGATTGGATAACAGAGAAAGCAACTCTACCACTGCCTCTGTTTGCTCTGCAATGCTGATGTTTTATCTCCACAAATAACACAACCCCGGAGGAGTTCTGCTGTGTGGTGGAATTGCTAATGCTAACAGTTAGCTTTTACTAGTCGAGACGTGCTCTGCTGTTTCCTGGATGCTTAAACAACAACATTTTTCTCCTTCGCGAGCTGAGATGGGTGAGTCCATGAACATTAAGGGAGTGTGACATAGGCTGGCTTTTCTAATCCCAGAGTTTCCCCGTCTATTTTCAATCCCTCGCTAATGCAGGAAATGGGATAGAAGACTATTTTCACACTGAGCCTGCATGTAAACTCAGAGTGACCGACCATATTTTAAAAAGAACAAGAAAAAAACAGCTTCTCAGTGGAATTGATTTTTAAGTGCTCTGCAGTTCAGTTGGTCCTTATTTTGTTCATGTGACTAATTCATCAAGTAGATTCAGTTTTATAGATGTTATCTATGTTTTAAACCAGTGTCTAAATGTTGCAGTATTTATTTGATATTCATCATAAATATGTCAGAAATTAGACACTTTTATTATTTATACTGTAATCATCACAAAACATATAACTTTGCCACCTACTGCCAAAACTGTTTTTCACGTGTTACATTATCAGAAAACTAAAAAATCAAAGGCTGCTACTGATCGAAGCCTACTGTATATATTTCTATTACTTCTATAGTAGAAATTCTACTTTATTTCAAATATATACATCATTAAAACAATCTAATGCTCTGAGAATTTCTTATTATTCTTCTTTTGACAAGAGGATGTATGAATGAATGAATGGACGAACGAACAAATGAACAACTTAATTAATTAATTAATTATTGATAAGAATTTTTGCTACATTTTAGGAGAATTTTATAACTGAGTTGAGTCTTTTTTTATGGAAATTCAAGTTCAGAATAATAATATGATCACTATTTATAGTTTAAATCCATTCATGAAGCCTTAAGCCAGTTAATTAAGACCTAAGTGTAACTTTATGTTATTTACGTGTTTGGGAATCATGTTGTGTCACCATGTGAGCTCAGGTCTTAGAGAAATGATAAACCAAAATAGAGTGGATGACATTGTTTATCATGGGAAAAGAATCCAAAACAGAAGTGATATATCAGCTCTGTGGCAGGAGGGAACTTCAGTCCCTCATCAATTCCCAGACTCACCTGTCGTCCTCAGTACAATAAAATCACAAAAGAAATCACGGAATAATCTGACCTGATCAGAACTAAAATGTAAAATTTTCAGGTCCTTCGTGTTCGCCTCCATCTCTTCAGACCAAGTGCAAAATTCAATTCAAAAATACTTTATTAATCCCAGAGGGAAATTGATTGCTGCAGTAGCTCAGAATAATAATAATAATAAAGTCATCAAAGAGTTATTGTATATTACATTGGCTTTTGGCAGGAAGGATCTCCAGTAGTGGCCAGTGTTGCAGCAAAACTAAAGAAGCCTCTGACTGAAGACACTCTTCCGTTGTTGGACAGTCTTGTGAAGAGAATGCTCAGGGTTGTCCATAATTTTTTTGATCCTCTGGAGAATCCTTCTTTGCATTATCTCATCCAGTGGTTCCACAGTCGTTCCCAGAACAGAACCAGCCTTTTTTATTAGGCTGTTGAGCCTTTTCAGGTCCCTGCTTCTGATGCTACTACCCCAACAGATGATGGCTGAAGAGATTACACTCTTAACAACAGACTTGTAGAAGATCTGCAGCATCTTGCTACAGACATTGAAGGACCTAAGTGTCCTCAAGAAGTGCAGTCTGCTGTGTCCCTTCTCGTAAACGGCTTTGCTGTTCTTTCTCCAGTCCAGTCTGTTGTCCAGGTGAACTCCAAGGTATTTGTATTCCTCAACCACCTCCACTTCTTCTCCCATGATGGAAACAGTGTTTGACTCCACCCTGGTTCTTCTGAAGTCTAAAATCATCTGCTTTGTTTTGTTCACATTCAAGGTCAGATGATTGTTTCCACACCATGCCACAAAGTGCTCCACCAGCTCTCTGTACTCAGCTTCCTGTCCATACACCCGACAACTGCAGAGTCATCTGAGTATTTCTGTAGATGGCAGGTCTCTGATTTGTACTGGAAGTCTGAGGTGTACAGGGTGAAAAGGAATGGTGAGAGTACAGTCCCCTGTGGTGCTCCAATGAAACTGATCGCCTGCTTTGATGTGCAGTTCTTCAGCCTCACAAACTGTGGTCTGTTTGCAGGTAGTCTTTAATCCAGGTGATAGCTGAGGTCCCCACCTGTGTCTTCGGGAGTTTCTGGCAAAGTACATCAGGCTGGATTGTGTTAAGTGCACTGGAGAAATCAAAGAACATGACCCTCACAGTGCTGCCTGCTTTGTCCAGATGACAGTGGGTTGGTTGAAGCAGCTGGATGATGGCAACGTCAACTCCAACTCCATGGCGATAAGCAAACTGCAGCGGGTCCTGATATGTTCTAGTTTGCTTATTCAGGTGGACCAACAGGAGTCTCTCCAGGACCTTCATGATGTGGGATGTCAGGGCAACCGGTCTGTAGTCATTGACTGATGTGCGAGTTTTCTTTGGAACTGGAACAAGGCAGGATGTCTTCCACAGCACTGGAACCTTCTCCTGGGCCAGGCTAAGGTTGAAGAGGTGCTGCAGAATCCCAGAGAGCTGCTCTGCACAGGCCTTCAATACCCTGGGGCTGACACCATCTGGACCTGCAGCCTTGTTCCTGTTCGGTCTCTCCAGCTGCCTCTTTACCTGACTTCTAGAGACAGATAGGTGGGGGGGGGGGGGGGGAATGGGGGGGGGGGGAGGTAAATGGGGCAGCAGCATCTCCTGACTTGGTTGAAGACAGATTTATAGAACCAGAAGAGTCCATGACTGCGTTAGAGGATAAAGGAGCTGGCGTGTGACAGGAAAATGTTGGATCAGAGGAGGATGGGATGCCTGATTGGCTGGGGACAGGCGAGGAGGATGCTGGGTTTGTTCCTGAACTGAACCTATTGAAGAACTTGTTCAGTTCATTGGCTGTGTCCAGGCTGCCATCTGTGCAATCCTTCCTCTGCTTGATGCCTGTGATCTTCTTAATCCCTGACCAGACATCTCTGATATTGTTCCTCCTTAGTTTGTTCTCCAGCTTCTTCCTGTATGCCTCATTGCTGTCTCTGATCTTGATCTTCAGTTGCTTCTGTATACCCCTCAATAATTCTCTGTCTCCCTCCTTGAAGGCTCTTTTTTTCTCATTTAGCAGATTCTTCAGTTCACTGGTGATCAAGGGTTTGTTATTAGTGAAGCATCTCACTGTTCTGGTGGGTATGATGTTGTCCACACAGAAGTTTATGTAGTCAGTGACACATCCAGTCATGACATTGATGACCTCTTCATATCCTTGGCAGAGAGTCATCCAATCTGTGGTCTCAAAACAACCCTGCAGGGCTTCTTCAGCATCCTGTGACCATTTTATCACAGTTCTTCTTGTCACAGGTTGCCTCTGAACAAGTGGTTTGTATTCTGAGCAGAGAAAAACAAGATTGTGATCTGATTGTCCCAGAGGAGGTCTTGCTTTGGACATGTATGCATTCTTTACATTTGCATAACCCAAATCCAATGTCTTGTTTTCTCTGGTGGAGCAGCTGAGAAACTGTTGAAATGTTGGAAGTGTAGCAAAGAGCGAGGCATAATTAAAATCACCAGATATAGCCACAAATGCATTGTGGTGCTGGGTTTGTAGCTTAGCAACAACGGACTTGATGCAATTTGCTGGGTTCTTTATGCTGTATAGGAAACAATTTTTCTGATTGGCTTAATGAACTGACCTGAATTGGAATATTTATTATGTGAAGTGCCTTGAGATGGCTCTTGTCGTGATTTGGCGCTGTATAAATAAAATTGAATTGAATTTAACTGAACTGATGGCATCACATGCATTTTCAGCAATGGCTGAAGGTGAAATATAAACGGTTGCCAAGACAACACTGTTGAACTCTCTTGACAAATAATATGGGTGACAACTTACTGCCAAGAGTTAAACATCTGGGCTGAAGAGACGACATTTCACTGAAACATGACATGGATGGCACCATCTGTTGTTGACATGCACTGCCACTCCATCTCCTTTTCCCGCTCCTCTTCAGATCTCTGTCTGCTCAGTCAGGAATCCTGGCAGAGAGACGCTGGAATCGGGGATATGGTCCTGCAGCCACGTCTCAGTGAAACACATAACACTGCACTGCCGAAACTCTAGCTGAGTCCTTGACAGGGCTTGGAGTTCCTCCATCTTGTCGGCCAGTGATCTCACATTGCCCATTATGATAGATGGAAAAGATGGTTTGAATTTCCTCTTTCTCTGTCTCCGTTTTGCTCTCGCTCTGCACGCACGCTTCTTGCGTTTTAGTTCATTTGGGATTTGTGGCTTCAGTTGAGGTATTATTTCAGCCTTTCCAATGTTCATCAGCTGCTCTCGATTGTAACCCAGCTTGTTGCCATGGCTATGCATCATAACAAATGCTCTAAAAGTGAAAATATTGCAGTAAAAGTTCTCCAAGCTTCACAGCACCAGAAACAGAAAAGTAAAATGTCCAAAAAAATACTGTTTTTCTTGAGAAACTAGAAGAAAAAATGTCCAAGAAAATGCAAAACTTACATATAGTCAACAGAGCTACTCCAACATGCAGCCACCCAGAGCAGCGCAGTTCCGGAATTTATCGCCTTCAAAGTACAGCACAAGACCATTAGCAGTTTTCTCCAAGGCAGATACTCTTTAGTTAATAATAAAAGCTTTCTACATCCAAGGAATCGGGCCTCAAATCTCCCTCACATGAGTTGGAGACACATGACTGCTTGCATTCACTGGAGAGAGCAGCACAGGAGAGGAGAGAGCAGCAGGTCAGAGGATTCTTCTAAACCTCAGCCGATGCTCATGTGACATGAGACCGCTGTAGCCTTCAGGTTTTTTCATCTTACTCAGCAGTGCTCCAGCCAAAAGGTTTACACTTATGGGTCATTTTCAACTGCAGCAAAGGTAATTAAAGCATTACAGGTGAACTAGTCTTAAAAAGGTCCAATTCATAGATTTATAAAATCCAAATATATCTAAAAACACAGAGTTGTTTACAAACAACCTAAAAACTGCATTTGGATCAATTAATGATCTGATTTCAGGCCCAGCATACCAGGTACAGAAATTCAGACAGAAACTAGTGCTAACACCCACCGTCATGGGTTTTATTTTTATTACAGTCTTTTTAAAGCTTGAAGGATTAATGTTTAACATGCTGAAGCGTTTTTAATTCAATTCAATTCCATTTTATTTATATAGCGCCAAATCACGACAAGAGTCATCTCAAGGCACTTCACATAATAAACATTCCAATTCAGGTCAGTTCATTAAGCCAATCATAAAAAATGTTTTCTATAAAAGGAACCCAGCAAGTTGCATCAAGTCACTGACTAGTGTCAGTGACTTTACAGCAATACCAAATGGTTTGGCAACACAATCCAATCTGTGTTAACAATTGTAAAATATCCTATTATTTAGTACAAATGTGGAAAGAATAAAAGAGAATTATTCATTTCAAAAAATCCATTTCAATCTTTGGCATTTGGAAACCATTAAAATGTTTTAACTAAATGAAAATCGTTTGATTCTTTCATTGTTGGAAAAGACAACTTGTTTTATTGTTTAGTGTTTGCTCATTTAAATCCTTAATTTCGTAGAAAATCCCCTCATTACTCGTTTTTCTTCTCTTCTAGATTCATTAGAACGCTAATAAAAATTTAAATCCCATAAAAACTCCATAAACTAAAAACCCTAGTTCTGATTCGGCATGCGTAACGCTGGTGCGTAAAAGTTGGAGCTCTACCTGCGATGTCCCACAGCTGCAGGCGCACCGTCTCCTGGTCCCAGTTCAGGACTTTGAGAGCGAAGTCCACCCCGATAGTGGCGCGGTAGTTGGGGCTGAAGTTGTGGTGGACGTAGCGCTTGATGATGCTGGTCTTACCGACCCCCAGGTCCCCGATCACAAGGATCTTGTAGAGGTGCTCCTTATGGTGGTTGTTCTGCATGGCGACCGAGGAGGGCGAGAGCTGAGCATGAATCCACCGTAAACGAGAGAACTCGGGAGGGGGAAACGGGGCTGAAAGCACGGACAAGAGAAGTGGAGAGTAGGGAGTAAAGGAGAGGATGTAAGGTAGCTACGCCCTGGCGCACAGAGGGAAGTGGAGCACAGACGTCTGGACCTTGTGACTGAGGCAGGGCCGCTGCCTGCCAGGGAGGGTCGGCGGTGCCCTGGAGGCAAAGGTTAAATAAACCCTTCAAAATAAAATAAATTATAGCAGCGTGGAATAAATAACAATAAGGGGGATCATTCAGTAACTTGGTAAACACACATTTTATTTTTTTAAGCTATGATTTGCTGATGTTGCAACAATTTTTGACCAACTGGGGTTTTTCAAGTTTCATTAACAAACAGCACAATTTATTTTTATTTGATTAGATTTGTATGACTATCTGATACTCTTTCCAGATGACAGAATAAAAATAATTTCCTTCATAGCCTGAATTAGATTTAACAAGCTCCTTAGTGGGCTGCATGGTGGCACAGTTGTAACACTGTTGCCTCACAGTCAGACCATTGCAGGTGCATGATCTCATCCCATGCTGCAAATTACCTTTCAGACAATAAAGTTTACCTGTGTGTAATCACATGATGTCAATAAATATGCTTTAGTTTTAAATGGCTTCAAAGTCTGCATCCACATCTGACAACAAAACCAGAGAAACAAGTCTGGGACACGGCTCTTAAAGCCTCATCATCCCACAGTGTAATGTTTCATTTAATAATAAGAAACGGAATTAATAATACAGCAAATCTGCAGTGAAATGACTAAATAGAAATATTCAGACCTTTTAGAGGTGAAAGGTAACTGAAAGATTTGCAAAAGAACCATCACTGCTTTGTCCACTGAAACAATAAAAGATGTGCATTTTAATACAGACATACTTTAAAAATGACTCAGAAGAATATCTGAAAAGTTCAACAGGTCCATTTAATATTCAGGTGAAAGTTAAATTAAACTTCGAACAAAAGTTGCTGTAATTTTCAATTAATGTTAAATATTAATATTTATTCTCAAACTTAAATCTTTAGGCTATTTTTACAACACACAGGGGATGTTATAACTCCCCAAAATCAAATCAAGTTTAGTGTCATTCTGTTCATATCAGAGTACAAACACAACAAAAAGGCGTTTCTCCACTGAGATCCATCTGAGTCACATGCACAAAACATACTCAACTCTCCTATATTTAAAAACAATGACTAAAATTGTGTTAAAATCTATAATAAGTTAAAAGCTCCAGGTAAATGAAACTCATACACACACCCCTCCATACATGTATGTGTGCAATTAACATGAGAGACTTTTAAAGTGCTCACAGTCCAGTTGTATTTAGCAGCCGAACAGCCTGAGGCAGAAAGCTGTTCAGCTGCCTTAGTGGAGCATCTTATGCTGCAAGAACGCTTCTGGGATGGAAGAAGCAGTTCAGGGGTTGTGTGAGGTCCTGAGATACCTTCAGATCGAACCCATTTTTGTCACGCTTAATATGTGTTGGCCTAAACACGTTTCCATGTCATTAGTGACATCTGCTGCACCAGAGAATTTCTGGGCACACATACTCGGATGTGGTGATCAGGTTCTGTAGTGTAAAGTGCTTTGGAGTCCTCTTGACTCCGAAAGGCACTATACAAGCGTGGGACATTTATCATCCATCACTCCACAGGCTGGAGCACCAACGCTTCATCTCTGCTGAGCTTCAGTTTCAATTTTGATCTGAAGCTCAACATTGTCCCTCATCATAAAACTGATTCTGATTTAATTTCTTTCATAAAAATGATAAATTCAGCAAAAGAGAAAGAACAAAACAAGCACAATATGTTGTATCCCTTTTATTGAAAGTAATTTATTTTAAATGCTCTCCAGAGAGAGATCCACATGGCAGCCATGGTGTCAGTCTGTGGCAAGGACGCTAGGCACATCAATTCTCTCCAATGAAATTTCCCTGAGACAGAGAACGATCAAAGTCCTGCACCCGACAATCGAACAGATTATTCAAATGTCACAAGGATTTACACCGGTCGCAGCACGTAGTAACAATCCCTTCAGATCCCAGGTTTGTATTGGCAGTCACAGCTTAAATTTAACAGCTAAAGGATGCTTGGAGAAATTGGCAAACATTAAAGGCAGAGAAATAAAAGAAATAAGGCTGTCGGTGAATTCAACAAAAATAATCAACTCCTCTCAGGTTCTTCCTGAATTTAAAAGCATCTGAAGTGATAAAAAAACTACTGTTGTGTAAGAAATTGTTTAGAAATCAACTCCCAACATTCACTTTTTCATAATTTTGCCATTTTTAGACAAAATGTTAGCAATCAATGTCGCCATGTTAGCAAATAGATTCAACACGTTTTAGGTTTGCAGGAAACATTTCACCTTGTTTAAATTAATACTGGAAAAATGAGGAAATTTTGAAAAATTTTGAATTTTTCTAAATATTTGAAATAGTCAGATAAACTGAAAACTGGCAAAACCACTCAAATTAACTCATGACTTAACTAAAATAGATAAAAACTTTGGCTTCAAACATTCACCTTGTAGGAATATGTAAAAGCAGTCGGGCTGGAGCGGAGAATAAAATCAATAGAAATGTTTTAGAATCATCTTCAAGGTGCCCTTCTCCTCCGGTTTTAGAGCTGAAGCTCCTACAGCTTAGGGATGGGTTTGGCGGCTACGGCGATGCTCTCGATGGCACACTCGTCACTTCCCCGGAGAATTCGGAAGTAGCCGTCCTCGCCCCAACCTGTGCCCCAGCTGTTCTTCACGATCCAGTACTTCTCGCCGGTTTTGGGGCAGCGGCCGTAGCCCACCAGCAGCACGGCGTGGTTGGTCAGCTCAAAGGGGTTTAAGGGGTCCCTGAAACCCGTGTGGTGGTAGATGCCCCCTGCGTAGTGCATGAAGTCAGGGTAGACCTGAGGACCAAGATGGAAACTTTTTTTTAGGCTTTTAAAAAAAATCTTTGTCAAATAAATGATAGTTAAGAGAAATTAAGAGATTTAGCTTAGTGCTCACACCTCCAAGGCTACTGCCATAGGTCCATTTTGAACCAGCTCCAGCATCATGGCCGTCTCACTGCAGCCGCCATAAAAACCACCCACATAACCGTACTCCGCCGCGTACGTTCGGCCACAGTTTTGAGGAATGCCGCATGGAGAGTCCTTAGCAATGTACGGAAAGCACGACTCCTCCACGATGCCAAAATCCTGAGTGTACTTCCCAATCAGGTACGGGAAGCCCCCGTCGCAGCCTGGGAAACAACAACAAAGTGAGACTTTGCCGACAGGTACAAAAACGTTCTACTAACATATTTTGAAGATTTCCTGTTTTTCCTTACTGGTGTACATTCTGTTATCTGGTCCAAAATGACAAAAATAAAAATGGCTTCAGATAAATTTCCTGATATTCAGAGTAACGATTTACCTTGAGAGTATTCAGAGCATGAGACCACCTGCTGAGGGCTCAAGACGGGAGCGTCGGTGTTGTTTGTGAGGATTCGAACACGAGCTTCCAGCATTCCCATGGTGGCAAAGGAATAGCAGCTACCACACGATGCTGAAATGCCACAGAGTCCCACACTGAGAAAACAGCACCGTAGCAAAACAACAGTTCCCAACTTTGCAGTTTGTTCTTTATTTTCAGCTAGTTTTTGCACAAAAACCAGCAAAAAATAAACTAAACTTTGGATTCAACACAGTGCACCTAACAGGGATATTACTATAGGAATGCATGGCAGCACTAAGCACCAGCATACCCGTCTCACTTAGGTCGTGCATAACAACAAAGGCAGCAGGTCCTTATTAAAAAGCTCTGCAGGAATGAATAAGGTTCAAACCAGAGGCTGCAAGAACATTGAGGAGATCTAATTGTAGGAATGATTCAAAGTAAAATAAAAAGTTGTTTATTTAGGTCAAAACCTTCTGCCTTATATATTAATAAGGTTTAACAGTCTTTTAATAAGAGGTAAGAGCTACAGTGGGTGGAAATGTGTGCTGATGTGGCTTATGAGATGATTACTCAAACGACTGTCCCATGACACTGCTGTCTCACAGGACAAGACACACTTATAATAAAAATATATAAATTAGTTACCTTCTTCTGCGTGAATAAAAACAGCCTTTCATGCATTAACGGCCACATCACCACCACAAGCTGACCCCTGAATTTCAACAAATAAGTAATTCTTCGGCTATTCTTTCACTTCTTTTTGTCTGAATCAGATATTTTGGGCAACGTGGCACAGGAGTTAAGTGCTTGCCCCGTAATCGGAAGGTTGCAGGATCGAGCCCTACTCAGTCTGTCGCTGTCGTTGTGTCCTTGGGCAAGACACTTAACCCACGTTGCCTACTGGTGGTGGTCGGAGGGACCGGTGGCACCAGTGCTCGGCAGTCTCGCCTCTGTCAGTACGCCCCAGGGCAGCTGTGGCTACATTGTAGCTCATTCCTACCAGTGTGTGAATGTGTGTGTGAATGGGTGAATGACTGTTTGTGTTGCAAAGCGCCTTGGGGGGTTCCAGGACTCTAGAAGGCGCTATATCAAATACAGGCCATTTACCATTTTTGTGTTCCCATAAAACTCTCCGGTACAAAGAGTTCCTCTTAGAGACGAAGTTCTAGGAAGATGCTTTCCTTTAAATTTATGGTTAAATTCTTGTAAACATACTTCACTGTGTGGCCCAAAGTCTGGAGTCAAAAACTGTCAGAAGTGTAAAAGGAGACTTTATAGAGATGATGTCTGACCAACAGAGGAGGATACATTTTCTGCAAACACTATACTAGTTAATGAAACACTACATGGTAGAGTAGAGTTTACACAAATTAAGTTTGTGGTTGGTTTTAAAATAAGCATGCATCTGCATCAAGCTTGTCAAATGGTGAAAGTGCAAAAAAAAAACAAAAAAACTCTGACTAATCAGTGACTAATCAGTGAAGATTTTCTGCATTCTCACTAAATGAAATAATCAGATGTAGAGTAAAGAGTTCTGTTTGGTCTACAGCTCAGAATAAGATGAATGATGGTGAGGAGACCTTTGCTGTTGATGATCAGATCGGACATATTTGGATATATGTGGGATTCTGAGCAGGAGCAGTTATCAAGATCAGTCCCGGCATCAGTCCCGGCATCAGTCCCGGCATCAGTTCCGGCATCAGTCCCGGCATCAGTCCCGGCATCAGTCCCGGCATCAGTCCCGGCATCAGTCCCGGCATCAGTCCCAGCATCAGTCCCAGTATCAGTCCCAGCATCAGTCCCAGTATCAGTCCCGGCATCAGTCCCAGCATCAGTCCCAGCATCAGTCCCAGCATCAGCGCTATTACGGGTATCAGGATTGATAAATTAACACAAGACATCTTCAGCATGGCCATTTTTGGACACTAAATCTGCAGGGCCTGTCTGAAATCTGAACAAACGTGTGTTTACAATAAAGCCTCCATTGAAAGGATAAAAAGCAAAGCTGTAAACATTAATAATAAGATTTCCGCTTCTGGAAAACAGGAGCTATGATTCTGGGTCAGGTTGTTTATTTTTAAGTCCAGCCAGATCACTGCATCTACAGTCCAACTCATTTTTTGTGAACAGCAGCAGAATCTTAAAAAAAGAAGAAATCCACTCGACTTCCAACATTACAGTAAAATAAGCTCCAGGACCGTGAGCAGTGGCTTAGAGGGCTTCGACTGAAACACTTCAGCTCTCTTCTGACTCTTAAAGCCCACCCTACAGAGACCCTCTCAGACACTCCGAGTACTCAGCCCACATAATCTCCTCACTCACACACCAGACTACACAAAACACACGAGAACAGCAGCGAGCAGACCCAGTCGAGCCAAGAGGGGAGCAGGTGAAGCTGCAGGTGAGTGGGCGAGCCTGCTGACAGCTGGTCAAATGGAATGCTGCAGATTTTTCTGCCTCAGATTCATCTGAATGGAAAATGTGGCCATGAAATGAATAAAAAGACTTGTATGTGACAGAAACTTAAAGTCACCTTGATTTCTCACAGGGCTGACAAAGTTAACACCATCCACTTTCCTCCAATCCCAGTGCTCAGGCAGGGCGGCCGCCATTTTGACTAAATTGGCCATCACAGGTTTTGGGCGAGCGCGGCTAAAAAAAAAAAACAAAACAAAAAAAAAAATTGAGTGAAAGATTCACCCCACTTACATGAAAATCTATCTAAATCAGAAAAAAGAAGACCCAACTGTCCCGTTCCTACAGAGTAAGAGACTCACACTGGGATACGAGAAGCTGGCCCCCCCGCCCTGTAGTGCAGCTCCTGAATAGTGAGCATCTCGTGTTCTGGATACGGTTTGGCCTTCCAGGATGTCTGGACTGAGTTGATCAAATAAATAAAGTCCAGGTTGTGTTTGTAGGTCTTCTGCAGAAACCTATCGAGTAAAAAAATTAACAACCAGTAAACAGGAAGTAATCCATCCAACAAACAGCAAAGGCCAAGTAATTACATTACATACATAGCTGATAACTTTAATTATAAGAATGCTACAAAAATAAAAAGCCTACGTTTATACCACATCCTGTAGCTAAATGTTAAATAAGATTCCTGCTTCTCCCCCTACTGATTGAAAGCGGAATTACAACGGTCATAAACAACCCTGCAGCAGGCTTCGAAGATAATCAAAGTGTTTGATTTTGCATGTTTTTATGAATGTATGATTATTAGCAGTTCAGAAAACAGAAAAAAATAGGACTTAGCTACTTTTTTGGGTGGTTTGAAACTGGAAAAATGAACTGAGAGCAATGCTAGCTAGTTCAATTCACACAAGGATGAACTCCCAAAACTTACAAAGTGGTTAGCAGGTATTAAACGAGGTTCTTTTTTGCTTCGGACATGAAGGTGTTTCGAGTTACCTTTTACATGTTTCGACTGCCGTCTGCGGTCTTCCTCAGAAGTGTCACAGGTGTTTGTGTGATGCGTCTTTATCGGCTGTTCTTCTGCTGGGCGCGACCAACCCAGATCTGTCAGATCCGCCGGGTCGGTTGCACCCACCTCTGCTGGCTGGTCTTTGGAGAAGGGAATCCCAGGTGTGGGACTGCTGATAGGCCCCCTCATCTCTGTTCATGTCCCAATGTTCCCGTTTCCTTATTTCTATTGCCTCCCTGACCCAACGCTTGAACCGGTTGTTCTCCATGTTGATAATTTTCCCTTGATCCCAGTCCATGATGTGATTATTTCGTTTGCAATGATCTGAGATGGCTGACATGAGGGTTTGCTCCTCTGCTTTTTTCTTTGTTGTCCTTGTGAGTCTTTCTGTTGTTTCCTTCTCGCATTCCTTCTGGTGCTCTTTTCTTCTTGTGTCATATGTTCTGCCAGTTTCCCCTATGTATGTTTTATTGCACAACATGAATGGTATTTCGTAGATTACATTGCATTTCTTGTCTGGTTCTATTTTGTCCTTGGGGTGTGCCAGTAGCTGTCTGAGTTTCATGTGAGGTTTGACGGTTGTGTTGATTTGTTGTTTTTTCATGGCCCTTTGTATACGTTCTGTGACCCCCCCGGATATATGGAATTGTGATGGTGTCCGTGTGCGTGTGGTCTGGTCTTTGTTTTTGTTTTCTTTTTTTGTTCTCTCAGTTTTTTTTATTTTCTTTGACTTGTTGTTTTCCTTTTACTATGGCCCATTTTGGATACTGACAGAGGGTTTGTGCTTGTTTGATGTGTTCTTCTTCCTGTTTGCGGTCCGTTTCATCTGTAATGAAGCTGGTCCGTTCGTAAAATGTTCTGACTACTGATAGTTTGTGTGCTGTGGGGTGTTCAGATGTCCAAAGCAGATATTGGTCTGTATGTGTGGGTTTTCTGTATATTGTGATTTTTATGCTGCCGTCGTCCATGTGGTGAATGTTCGTCCAAAATCGTTATTGTTTTGTTTCGCACCTAAGATTCCCTTCTCCAAAGACCAGCCAGCGGAGGTGGGCCTGACCGACCAACCCGAATCTGACAGATCCGGGTTGGTCGCGCCCACCAGAAGAACAGCTGATAAAGACGCGTCACACAAACACCTGTGACACTTCTGAAGAAGACCGCAGACGACGGTCGAAACATGTAAAAGGTAACTCGAAACACCTTCATGTCCGAAGCTAAAAGAACCTCATTTAATATTTAAAAAGAGGACATAATGAACATTGTAAAGGGTCTAGCAGGTAATAAACATTTGCATTGTGTACTTATAGCTCATTTCTGGTCCTGGAGGGTTAGTATCCAGCAGGTTTTAGTTTTAACCCTGCTTCAACACATCTGATTTCAATCAGCAGGTGGGCTTCTGCAGGGCTTGATGAGCTGCTGCACGGATGATTCAACCACTAAATCAAGTGTGTTGGAGCAGAGAAACCACAAGACCTGCTGGATCGGGGCCCTCAAGGGCCAGGATTGAGCATCCCTGGTCTACTGTGATAAACTTAAGGCATTCTGTTGTACAGAGGCAGAATAAAACAGTTTTGTAGTTGCATTGCTACATTATTAGGTAGCTATATATGTTTCCTGTGTCTCCTTATAGTTTGGTATTTGAGAGAGCAGAGCTTCCTTTGCTTCACTTCAGGAGATATTACTCTCTTCCTTTTACTTCCAGGCTCAGCATGATGCCAACAAAAAAGCAAACTACTACTTCTTTTTGTTTTTTTTTTATCAACTATAGAGTGCTGTCCCATGTGAAGCTGCTCAGATTTCTGGCTCAAGAACCACTGAAACCAGTTTGAAACAAGAAGAAGACGAAGAAGTAGTATCGTATCGCCATAATTTCACTAATACACAACCCTCGCTTAAAGTGCTAAAAACTCTTTAGTGTTGCTTTAGTTTGAAGACAAAGCTGCTGTCTCCAGGCTAGGCTGTGCAATTAGCATCAGTAGGTTTCAAAACAAGAGTCTTTACATAGGCTTTTTTATAACTTCAAGTGTCTTTCAACATCTTCACACAAATCAATGTCAGACAGATACCAAGACAAGTCAATGCAAGCTGCAAAGATTAGTTTACTAGATGAAAGAGTGAGCACATAATGACTTAAAGCTAGTTTTGAGTACCACAGTTTAAATCTAATCAAAATGTAAATTATGACCACAGATGGCAAAATATTTATTTTGTGCCATTTCAAAACAGACTAAAGATTCTGCTGAATCCAGTGTGATTAAGATGGCACTCCAGTCGCCTCAACCTTCCTGAACTGCTTGGAGAGCTTTTCTTGTGATCATCATGTGTTTCTGGTAAACACTACTTCTCAGTTACAATTGAAAGAAAACTGCATAAAGTTTCATATTCATATTCACATCTACTGATTTCCTCTTGAGTTTTCAGGGACATCATTTTGATGTTTAACAGAAACACCATCCAGGTGGTTTAGAAACAAGATAACAGTTAAAGAAACAAAACAAGAGGGCTCACATAATTAGTAAATTGTTTACTTTTGTGGTCAAAATGATCTAATTTAACAAGTTAAAATCTTAAAATCTTCCGGCTCTTGAAGGGTGCAGATGCTTTTTTCCTCCTCTCCTCTATATCTTATCCTCAAGGCCCTTTGTCTGTCTCTGTGTGCTGGGTGCACGGCTGCCTGTTTCAGCATTTTTTCTGGAAACTGGAAACTGAAATTCACTAAAATGGATCTCGTCAGTTGGTCTCTCAACGCGATTGATAAAATGTTTTCAACGATGAGAACGGGAGGAGGGGCTCCTGGATGCCCCTCCGGGACAGACCTAGTTGGACACATCATGGACTCCTGGAAACAGTGGAATTTGATTTGTTTATCTCAGCTATCTGTGGAGGACTCTGAAGACGTGTAGATATTTGTGGTGTTGGTGTCAGGTTTGTGTGATGTCTGAAGTTTGTTGCATATCCATCTGAGGTGTTTTTTTGCAGAGCGAAGCTACCCTCCCGGTGGAGGGTAACTCTGAAGTGCCTTTTTTTCCCCTCTACTTGAACCAATCCTCATGTAACTCTATGGCGTCAGAATTCCGCCATATCTCGTGCACGCGTATTGTCCACATCGCACGTGCGAATGGGACCCACGCGTGGAAGTTAGAACCTCCACGAGTGAAGATGTACATGGCGAGGAGGTCATTTGTACACTGAGAGGGAGCAAACTGTGTCTGTGAGCACACAAGGATGTGCACAAGTGACAAACCTGCGTGCACGCATTGGCCAACGAGCACACAGCAGAGGAAAACATGCGCGCGGCAGCCTCAGTGCACGCGGCAGCCTCACTACTGCACGTGTGGCAGCCTTTCTGCGCGCTCGGTTTCTGATTCTGCTCGCTCGGCTGTTAGGAGTTTTGGCACTCTGGAGGCGTGGAAGAATTAAAATGCCAGAAATTGAGCACTTGAACTTTCAACTTGAGAGCAGAATTTCATATCAAGAGACCCAACTTTTTAATTTGAGAATAAGATTTTATATTATTGCTCTCAAAACTTGTAATGCTTGCGCTCAAAATGTCTGCTCTCTTTCAAATTCACTCTGTTCTCCTTCAAATCTTTGTTTCTGCGCTCAGATTTAACCTTCTTACACTGGTATTGTCTTCTCACGTGACAGCTTTTTCTCTGCACGGATCAAAACTCCTCCCACAAGTCTGTCCCCTGCTCTCACGGATCTTGTCTGCTCTCGCTCAAAACTTAGAAGTGCAATCTCCTAGCAACCGCTCAGCCAATAGAAAGACTTGTGGGACTGGGCAGGAACAAACCTCTTTGGGGTGCGCTCGTTTTGATGCTCTGTGGATTTTCCTGTGTGGCTGCCGCATCTGCGCACTAACAGCCTGGCTAATACCTGCCCTGATCTGGAGCGGGAGTTTCACCTGCACCAGCAAAATGGACCAGAACCAACAAGACGCTCAAGTAAGTTATTTTTCAAGGCTACTAGCTGCAGTTTATTCCATAAAATTGTTTTGTTATGCTACTTTTTACGACTCCTCGCATTTAATATTGCAACAGGGGCACAGCCAGGGTCCGAAATTAAATTTTTTACTCACCGGCCAAGTTGGCCGGTAGATGATGAAAATCTACCGGCCAAGCATATTTTTTACCGGCCAAAATTCTAAATGATTTAGATCTACCTAAAGCATGTAATTCTATATTATGTTGATTCCAAACAGAGTGACAAAATAATTAAAACATCAATTAATAAGGAAAACAACTCTTTTGTCATTTTTACTATTTATTTATTTATTTTTAGAGATGTTTTTATGAACTCTTTCATTGAAATCTAGTCAGACTACTTGTTTTCTCTGTCCATGAAGTCTGGCCTCCTGCTTCTGACACCGTCTTTGTGCCAAAGCATTACAGCCTCATTTGGGTCCTAGTCCTTGATCTCTGGAGAACACAGCTTCACCATGAGAATATCTGAAAGTGTGTCAGGGCTGTTGGAAGTTGCCGGCGGCACATGCGCACTTTGTTGTTTACGACCAAAACTTTCTTTAAGCTAAAGCTGAAATAATGGCAGGAGGAGACGGCAGCACTTGGGACATTTATTATCCCTCAAAGAAGACAAAGTCGGAAGTATGGGCATTTTTTTTTTTTTTGGGATATTTGAAGAATGCAGAGGGACAGTTGTCTGTGAAAGGCAGCAATGCTACGTGGCCATCATAATGTAGCCAGTGTCTCACGACTCCGCCGTCTCCGGTTCGCCACTTTTCACAAAATCTTCTGGTTGCCACTGGTCCTGGTGGTTTTTCTTCCAGTTCGACGAGTTTTCTTTTGGAAGGCTGGCTGACTCCAGTTAAAAACCGCCACATTTCACCGCTAGTTTTAACACGAAGCTAACGGCTAACTTGATAAACTGATTGAATGGGATAGGTGGAAATGACGTTGGATGCGGCGTTCACGTTTCGCGTACGTATGTGTACGCTGCATGCAGGCGGGAGGAGTATCACAGAAATCCGTGGAAGATGACTGATAAACATAACTAATTTGGTGCAAACATTTACTCGCCAGGTGGCAGGTAGAGCTCAAAAATTTACTTGCCAAATGGAGCAATTTACTCGCATTTGGCGAGTGGCGAGTGTTAATTTCGGACCCTGGGTACAGCTAGGTGGATTAGGGTCCTACATGGAATAAAATGTCCGGTGTTTCATCCAGGAGCTGGGATCAAGTTATGAGGGGCTAGATATCTGTCAGGGAAAGATCCAGAAATTTTTTCTAGTGCCGTATACCCCAGAGTTGGATAAGTGAATGAAATAGGATTGTTTTAACCAGCGCAGTAATTCTTATCTGCCAGCAGTCTGTCTGCTCTCAGTGTACAAATGACCTCCTCGCCATGTATATCTTCACTCGTGGAGGTACTAACTTACACGCGCAAGTCCCGTTCGCACGCGCGATGTGGACAATACGCGTGCACGAGATATGGCGGAATTCTGACGCCATATAACCCTCTTATCTCTATTAAGGTAGCGCGACTCAGGGTTGCGAATGACCACAGTCACCAATTCTTGTCATGTGTCTTGTCCATGTATGTCCGATCTCTGAATTGTGTGTACTGAAACTCTAATTTCCCTCTGGGATCAATAAAGTATCTTTGATTTGATTTGATGTAATCAAAACAGAAATGAGTTATTCCTCAAATTCATTAAAAACCATTAATGTGACACTTATTTTTGCTTTAAAACAACAGGAATGGTCACATGTAAAAAGAAGCTGGCAAAAAATGAGTTAAAATGCAACACCTAATCAATAACCGCTCCCTTACTGGAGTCATCGAATGCATGTTCATCTGGATAACTTCTAAGACATGCTGAATGTGAGAAAATCAACTCAGTGCAAGACAAAAAAAGTTGACAGATGCAAAACAGTTTTCTTATCTCACACTGAGTAAATAATCATCTTGTGACTGATTAGCTCACTAGTGTTACTCTACATTTAAAAAAAATGCATACCCTCTGCTGAAGGCTGGGATATAATCAGTTCTGGGAGGCACTGATTTCACTTTCTTCCCCACAAAACAGGCCCAGTTTCGCCCCAGGACATCATGGACCCACCCTGGAAGGGTCTGGTCACAGTAGCTGGTCAATTTAGAGCCTTCCTCCTTGTACTGAAAGGGTTAGGAGAAATCATGATCAAAAACATAATTTATCATCAAATGTATGTAACTGTGATAAACTGGTTAAAGGTGCAATGTGCAAAATGAAGTAAGACTGCCATCCTGTGGTCAAAGTTGGTTACTGAAGCCTGTTTTTATAAATAAAAAGTTTTCTTTTATTTATAAAAATTTTCTAAAATTTCTCCCTTCCAATCTGAGTTTCATGGCTGTTGCCAGTTATGGATCAGTGCCAACAATTTCTAGATGACAAGTAAGGACGAGTCGTACACAAAAAGTAGATAAGTAGATAAATACATTGTTATATCTGGTGTTAGCACGTGTGGGTGTTTTACAGTGTTTACACTTATTACGGTAATATGAGTCAGGGATTAGAGGAGGTATGGTTGCTTGCCGTCTTTTTGTTAGCTTGCTGTTATAGTTCTGAATGACTAACAGTTACAGCAGTGCACTGGCACTCATGAAAGTAGTAAAACACCACGGTTTACTCATTATTCACTTGACACATACATTTCACTGTTATATTGAGCTGCTAGTAATTGATAAAATAACTTGAGATATTTTAGAGACTATTTGCTTCTAATTCACCATTAGCTTTGTTAGCTCAACGTTAGCTTCTAGCCTTTTTCACCAGACAGAGTAAAACAAAAGGATGCCGTGGCACACACACCGCTTGCCTCTGCATTACTGTGAGACCAGGTTGGGGGGTGGACGGTTGCAGCGCACCTCCGATCGCTGTGCCTGGGACAATAATTACATTAACTACTTTTGGGTTGCTGTGGTTTACTGGCTTCAGTTCATTAAAGGGATACTTTGCAACTTTATCATATTTTTAAATAATTTCCTTGAGCCAGTATGTGCTAGAGCAGTAGAGCAGGTTGTCCAGTAAGTGGAAGGTTGCAGGTTCGATCCCGGTTTCGACCAGAGAATGCTGCGGTTGTGTCTTTGGGCAAGACAGATAACCTGCCTTGCCTGCTGGTGGTGGTCGGAGGGACTGGTGGCGCCAGTGTTCAGCAGGCCTCACCTCGATCAGTGCGCCTCCCCCATAGTAGCTTATCCCCACCAGCGTGTGAATGTGTGTGTGTGATTGACTGATTGTGTTGTGAAATACCTTGGGGGGTTGCAGAACCCTAAAAAGGGGCTATACAAATGCAGCCTGCCACTAGAGGGCACTCTGATTTTCTTAAAGAGCAAGTCACCCCCTACAAGAAACTTACTCCACGCCCACTTCATGTTTCAAAAATGCAACAAATGCTGTTGCCTGGCAGACCGAGAGGGCGGAGCCACTAACAAATAGACACAAACAGTCTCACAACAGCATTTTGACTAGGCCTGGGCGGTATGGCAAAAATTTCATATCACTGTATTATTTTAAATTATATCGGTTTTATGGTATCTTTCACAAGGCCGTGATAACCCAGAATATTTTCATAAGAAAATAATTACTGCACTAGATTGGCCTTAAATAGCCCATTATACCTTCATGTGCAGAATACCAGTTTTTCCATGTCCAGTCACAGGTAGGTAAATGCAGAAACCCCTGCAAAGTATCCTTGTCAAAAGAAAGCAGTTAAGAAAAAACAACTAGAAAGATAAAATATTGCAGTTAAAAGAAACTATTTTTATTGATATAATCTGTGCAGTTAACCATCTATATGGTTTAACATCCAACATTATTGCGTTGGTTTTCTCGACCCACCGCTTGCTTTTTTTATATATACAGTCCCTTTAGCGAACGTGTCTTTAATGGACATCTGACTCTGACTGCTACTAGCCGGTTTAGCCTTGGAGGTGGAGGGTGCAGATCGAAGCTTGAGACATGCTTGGTATTCCAAGACGTGTTTTCGGCTGAGGTGATGAAGCAAGTTGCTGGTATTACCCCCGCCGGCTACCACCGTTGCTCGACTGCATTTGCATGTAATAGCTGTTTGCTCCACGTCCGAACTTTTAAACCAGAAAAACCTCCAAACAACAGATGTGGCTCTTCTTTTTGGAAAAAGTTCTTCTGCGTTCGAAGCTTCGATGTCGCTGAGACAGCTCCTGCCAGCCGCCATTGGTGTTTCTCAATGTCAAGGCACCTTGCCTTGTGAGGCAATGTCTTGCGAGGCCAGGCACCTTGCTTACAAGGCTTACACTGTCCTTCCTTGGTCAAAGAGAACAGTTAAATGGAACAGACTTGCATCACATGACCGCGGCTTCCACGGCGGTCACGTAACGTCACGTGACACGGGAGATAACGTTACATTTTATATGTATTAGTTTCAATATAAATATATAATGAGCCTTTTACTTTTTAAATTGTGTATATGTTTATTAAATTAAAAATATAAGCGAGTTACTACCCACTAGCCACCAAAGCTGCAACTACTAAGCAACTAACCAAAAATAGATAACTTTTTTGGATCTAAGCGGAGGAAGACGAAGAAGGATCTAAAAAAACCATTTTAAATTAGTTAACTTAATTTTATACTTGAAATGTGCCCCCGAAGTAGCTGCCGGCTTCTGATCCACCATCTTTTTGAAAATACAGCGGTATATTGTGGGTAATTTTTGACCAAGGCTCGACTATAAGACACCTCCCGTGTATCCTTGCTCAGCTAGCTAAACGGCTAACAAACGGAAAACACACGCCTCGGTCGAACATGAACATTGGAACACGTCTTGGCGGCTCTCAATGACGTATCTCCTAGGCAACTGGGGCGGGGCCAAGACATCAAGGCAAAGTTCCTTGGCATTAAGAAACACCCTTGGTTTCACTACGCTGTGGTGTTTGTGTGTAGCAATGAAATGAGTCCCCGCTGAAACACTTTCCTACTACGAACATTCTGTACGTTGTCTAGGCCATTCACCGGTATAGCGGTATGTGAAAAATTTTGGTATGAACCGGTATACTGCCCAAGACTAATTGTGACATCATAATGTACCAGCTAATGTTATTGTGTACCCAATAGCCAATAGCGGTGGCAGATTTAAATTCAAATGCAGTGCAGTTTTTACCTGAAGAGGGTGCAACACTGACGGTTTTAGGCAGAATATTTGAATTTTAACTAAGATTAACTAAAGTGCGAAACTATTGTCTACACATGCCTACAGCACGATTAGTCTCTGGTTTTTATAGTTTATCAGCAAAAAACTGTTGATTTGGAGGTGAATTGCTCTTTAAGTTTCAAGATCATTGTTGCATTTCTGTGAAGTTATATTTTTTTTTTTTTGGAAAGGAGAAAAACTGACAACCCCTGCATGGCTGAGAGTGAAATCTGTTTTAATATAACCCTCGTTCCAACGCGACTGAGACATTACTGTGATTATTTTACTGTAGAACTCTTACACATTGCTCCTTTAAGTTTCAATCAAAAAGGCTGTCAGATGTTCAAAGACTATGAACTTCCAAACGTTGTGTTTTCCACATGAATCAGACGACAAGGAAGTTGAACCAGACATGGATAAGTCCTAAAACAAGCTGAGGCATGACAGGTCTATGACACTTCACCAAACTCAGTGTCATGTGAGAAATGAGAAAAAGCACTTGATCAAAAAGATTACTGCTTCTGCACATAAAGAGAGTGATATTCTACAGATGTTATCATGCTGTAAGAGGGAAAGGAAATGAAACCACAGAATGTTTTAGAAAATAAACTAACTCCTCTCACAATGAAACTTTTTTCCAAGCAATGCAACTAATTTTGATCATATTATGATGGAGATGGAGACAAACCTAAGACGCTGACAGAATGGGTGACCAGCTCTTTACCTTGAAGAAAGCAAACCATTTATAGCCACCGATGACCACCTCAAAGCCCTGGTTGTAGATGAGAGTGAAGAAGCCGGTGTTACCCAGTTCATCTGTGGCTACTGACAGTTTCTCCAGGGTGACAGTAACTGTGCTTTCATTTGTGGCTGCAGAAAACAACATGGAGTTGAATAAATTAACTATAACAAACAAAAACATCTAACTAGAGGGTTTATTTTTCTATTAATGAGAAAAAAGTACATTTTTTGTCAAAGAAAGTCAGTATATATAGTAATTTATTATGGAATTCATCATCTTCAAATGAAAACAAGGCCTCAACAGGTCACATGACACAATCAAGATAGGGCTTTCATTTCCTTCTCTCTTTGTCTTTCTGTGGCTACGTTTTGGGGTGGTTTTTACCTTCAGCTGAACAGTTGACGGTCTTGTCGTGTCCGCCTTTGGACACCTGGAACACCCATGTCCCCAGCAGGTCCTCATAGGTGCAGTTGGCCGGTGTGTCACCCCAAGACCCCTCAACCCAAAGCAGTAACACTGACAAAAGCACAGCGCCAAACCGCATCTTAATTCGCTGCTAAACTAGCAAACACTCGAGATGATAATTTGCACCCCGTAAATCCACAACCTGTTCGGCTGCTCACCCCACGGCTTCCCGGTTCACAGGATGCAGCGGGAACCGAAAGTTTGCTCAGCCGAAAGTTTGCTCAGGATTGAACTTGTCTCGACAAGATAGTTCACTGCAGGCCGACGTCACATTGCGCATGCGCACTTGTGATTAGCTTAGCGGCTAGGTTCCTCTTAAAAGCATAAAAAATCGTATCATTCTGAAAATGAACACGTAACACAGATATGTGTGAGTTTTAACCTTCCCGTTACGCACATAAACTCATTGTATCTATAAGTGCGGTTCTTTGAAAGGATTTATAAATCTGACCTTGATTCTTCTTCCTGTTTGTAAGTATCGTTTTCATTGTCACATGACCATGCGCGTGACAGCGCCAATAAATAAATAAATAAATAGGTTACAAATAAATAAATAAACGAATGAATGAATGAATGAATGAATGAATTAAAATAAAAGAAATAAATAAACAAATCAGTTTCCCTCTGGGATTAATAAAGTATTTTTGAATTGAATTGAATTTGAAATAATAATAAATAAATAAATACATAGGTGACAAAAGAGGACAGAGTTCATTTTATGTGTAAATATTTGTAAATATTGGTGTAAATGCCTCATGACTCATCCAGCAACAACAGTAAAATAAAAGTGAACATTAACCCTTTGATGCATAATGGTCACTACAGGGAACAGGTACTTAAAACAGTTTTTTACTTTTTGCTATTAAGCACAGCTATTGAAGACTTTATTGCATTTGAGCCCCTCCATTTGGACTTTAGTAAGTCAAGCCAACATATTTCATGTTCAGAATGCACGCTGTCCACTGAGATGGACATGTAATAAATAACTTTTAATTGAAATGTTACAAAAAAAAATTTTTATTTGTTTCATTCACACCTAAAGATGAATGAAATAGATTGTTTGAAAAATCATGGTTGAAGATTTCATAATTCATGTTTAAAACGATGCAAATCGGATCCCAAAATGAACAGCATGCATTTTTCCTGAATACACTAGGAAATGAAAGGTTGTATTGATAAGGGATAGGCTAAATTATTGCAAAGTTTCAAACTTAAATAACTTGAGGAGGACTGAACAGGATCAACACATCAGCAATTTGAAAGTTGAGAGTAACTGAGTTTGAAATCAGGAACTACAACACAAGATAACGATTTTTTTCTTCTAAACAACAGGCTGAATATTTTCAGTAGAAGCTTCACAAAGAAAGAATGATCATTTGGAAATCAGAGCATAGGACCAGCAAATTAAAGCAGAAACAATCTGAACAAAGCCAGTGTTCAATGCAAAACACAGCCAACACTTTGAATAGGAATTTATAAAGAACAAGCAGCTCATGTGCGGAGTTATCAGAAGACTGAACGCTGAGAAGGAAACACACTGTTCACAAATGACTCAAGAAATGTGTCTTTAAAAAACTGAAAGCAGAGAACAAACTTCTACGAGAACAAATGATGCAGAAAATTTGGATCTTTCAAGAAACATCTAGCTAAACATAGATAATTTACAGCAAACTCTAGAAGCGATATAGAGTTTCACAGATGGAGACTTTCTGTGCTGAGTTTCAGCCCATATCTGTGGGGGATTTTTCCTCTGACTCGTGGACACCCAGGTCAGCCAGTCAGCCTGTCGGGTGACATGTTTGTGTGTGGGTGTCGATATGTTGTGATGGGTCTGTTGTTGTAGAGGTTAAAGAGCTTATTTTAGCTGGCAGCCACTTATGGAGAGTGCTGGTGGCTTTTATCACCATGGTAACCATGACATAGACTGACTCACCTCCTTGACAGACCATAATAAGCATTCATCTGAAGAAGGGACTGAAGAGGTATTAGTCATGCAGTCTCATTGGTGCCATTACACTGTGTTTGTGTGGAAGTGTGAATGTGTGTGATTACATTACTTTAGGGCCATGTGTAGGAAGTTGGGTTTATGGGATTTTCATGTGCACGTTTGTGTGTTCCTGTGCCATGAGGAGCAGAAAGCAAGGGGACGGGGAATGATGTAACAAATGCTAACAGTCTGAACCCACTAAGCCTCAGAGTGACTCACTGAAAGTTGTGCTTCAATCTTGATAAAGTTCTCACGCCCTCACAGGCAGGAAATCAACTTTTGTACCTCTGAGTTCTGCTTTATTGGTAGATGAAGATTCTGCTGAGCCTTTTTGGCTTCCTGACCCACTTCCTACGTGACATCTTAGGTTTTTGTTTTTGTTAATATAGTATACTCAAATCTGAGAAACAAGACATATTTTCAGTTTCTTTTCTGTAAAAAAATAATCAAAATTTTAACATATTTGTTATCTAATCTTCATGTTCAGACTACATTTTTTTGTCTCATCTGCACAGATCCTCACTCGGTTACAGGAAAAAAATCCTCATAAAAATAAAGGTTAATATCAACGCTTTATGTATTTTACAGAAGTGTTTACTACATGTATGCATAATCATAAAGAAGTACTGAAACCTGTAGTTCATTAATTCACTCTTCTGTTTGATTGGACCACATTGATAAATGTTTGATGCCAAAATACTTTGTAAACCTATTGTCTGAAAGTTTGACTTGATTAAATCTTTTTGATCATTTGAATGATGCCTTGGAATGCGTTTTATCCAAAGGGCAAACTCCACCTGCCAAAATAGAATCCAGCACAGGGCTGACAAAGTTTGCAATTTTCCCCTCATCCACTAGTGGTCCACAAATGGCGGCCCGCGGCCCCAAACCCTGCGCGCACCCCCCACCCTCACCCCTGATGGCCGAACGGGGGGTGTAGGATAGATAGAGCTGAGGAAAATAATGAAATAATCAATGCATGAGATGTGGGCATAAACAATTCTGCATCATAGAAGAGTACCATAATCAATTATAGTGGAATGTAGTCTTGTTATTTTAACGGCGGCACAAGCGTAGCATCCACATCTGTCAGAGCGGGTGTTCTCCACATTTACCAGGTAGGAAACTCTGGTCTGCCTTTATAATAGTACTGCAGGGCTGAGCGCTGGAGTTATAACCTGAGACCAAAGCGAAACCGAATCAGACAGATCGGTTCTGTTGGATTTGGACCGTGAATTATGTTAATTGAGCAGATTGTTGGGCGGGGCGCTCCGCTCGCTCGATCAGCGACTGAGCGAGGGGGGGGAGGGGGGGGGGGGGGGGTCGGAGGACGTTCCTCCAAACACTCATCATCATTTTCATAATTTCATTATTGTTTCTTCTCTCTTTATTTTTATGAAGCGCTCAGTCAGACCGAGTGTTGTGACGTCGGGAGGTCCGGTCTTGGCGAGGGGGCGGGGTCAGTGACGGCGGCTGCAGCGTGATCAGCTGCCTCTTTTATTTAGGGACACGGAGAAGTTAAAAGGAGAGGGAAATAGAAGAAAGTAGTTCTTGTTCCACTTAATTCTTTTGTTTCATGATGATGAACTGATGTTAAATTCAGCTTAAAGAGAAACTGGGAGGAAGCTTTGGTTCATTTTAAGTTACAGGAGATCTTGTTTCCTATCCTCCAGAGACAGCATGGACATGAGGGTTACATGGTGAGGGTCCCACAGGACAGGTTAGTGCAGTCACACAGCCGAGCTGGAGGGGAACAGGTGTTGTCCTGCTTTATATTGCAAGCTTGTGTGTTACAGCCAGCGATCCAAACAGCAGCAGCACCCTATATATATATATATATATATATATATATATATATATATATATATATATATATATATATATATATATATACACACACACACACTCGGGGCAGTAATCCCTTGACTGGAGGAGAGGCTAAAGCAGATCCCAGGAAAAACATCAGACATCTCAGTCCAGAAAAGTGCAGTTCTAGGAACAGCTAAGATACTGCACAGACCCCTCAAGGATGAGACCACCCACAGAGTGTGAGATGGGAATTCGTATATACATACATATACACTAGGGGCTGCATGACTTAATTTTTTTTAAAGTCGACCGTCAAGTAATGAAAATTGAGTCGACTTCGACTAGTCGTTGATGACGTCATACACGTTGGGCCGCTGGAGTTTTTGACAATTAAAATTGTATCCACATTTTCTAAGTTACACACATATCTTTTTAAAACGGCAGTTTCTGCATCTTGCTTCAGCCCTCTCCCCCCTCCCCCTGCGTAGCGGCCGCAAACTCACTGATGCACCTGCAGCCTCTCAGAGTTCCTGCTGCTCTAAACATTAAAATAATTATTCCATTTCCTGTTCCTCACTTCTGATTACCTTCAATGGTGTCTGTTTGTTGCAACCACCAGGTACAAAAACTAACTTGTTTTTATTTGACTATTTTTCTGTCCTGTCTGTTTATTATCTTCCTGCATCTCCTCTCAGTCCTAAAGAAAAAACTGCTACCTGGGTTCATATATATTCACCTTATGAGTTACCTTTGAACTGCAGTTCTAAAATATCTACCGACCGCAAAAACAGCGGAGTGCACGCTGCGCGCCGGCCGCATCAGTGAGGCGTGTCACCGGAGGACAAAACAGGTGATGCGCTCCGCTCCACAGCAGCGAAACCTATCAGACACAAATAAAAGACAGAAACAAAAGGAAATGAGCCGACATGAACAATCACGTGTTAAATTTGTTTTTGAGGTGGCAACACCTAATTTGATAACGTTACTGTGGCCGTGCTCAGGACGCAGATGTCTGGAGCGCGTCAACGATCAGAGCTTTGCATGCGCAAAGTTGGGGTGAGAGGAAGGTTAAATTGCAAGAGGGTAAAGGTCACAATTCGGTCAAATGTCCGTTTTACGGCGGGCATCAGAAACCGATGCTCTCGTGTCACCTCCCGACGCGCAGGGACTCGTCACCTGCTGTCTTTTCCGAGGACTGCATCTTGTCGGTCATTATCACGTGACAGCGACTAGTCTATGAAAGGCATAAAAAGTCAGTCGACTAGTTGATACAACCCCTAATATATACATGATCCCATCATGACTGATTACATTATTAATCTTTTGACACCAACTGCTTCGTATCTGAGTTGTTTATTTCTGAGATTTTAAGGTCTCATCCTCAATGACAGGCTTAGTACTTTCTCAGTAATTTGCTGTATTACATCTCTTCTGCACTCTGGTGGAGGATGTAAGTCCTGCAATTCTTTTCAT